GTGTGTGTGTGTGTGTGTGTGTATGTGTGTGTATCCATATTAAAATTGAAGTTAGGTTAACATAAAAAGTAGAGTATGTTAAAAACAAAGATCAACTAAAACTAAGAACTCTCATTGTTAGTCATGTTACTGCATTTCACTATGATCAGGCGCACTCTCCAGGTTCCTTCTGTCTCCCATCTGTGGAGTGCATACCACACGTTGGGCGCTGCTGCCATTTGAAATGTTAGTGCCAGTGGGGAATTCACACACAGGAAGGGCACTTATTGAACCCTGTGAATCAATCTCTTCCTCTGTGAGGGCTGGGGGTAGGACATGCCCCACTGTGTGTTCTTTGGCCTTCTGTCTCACGCAACCAGATTCAGAGCTGGCCTGGCAGCCCTGTGGTAGGAGTCTAGGACTTCTTCAATCATTCATAAAGATGGGGCAGTAACTTCCCATAACACGAAGCAGGTGAAGGCTGTGGTCTCCTCTGGTGAAGGCAACCCTACACTGCATGTGACAGGAAAGGACAAAGTCTCAGGATAGAGTTAGCTCTTGATGACCTGGTTCTTGCAAGCTCATTGAAGCTTACCTTTTAGGTCAGGGCAAAAGTTCTATTTGAGTGATAGAAATTGGAACCACCTGCTTGCTAACAACTGACAATGGGGAAGGCAAGGGTATCCTATGTTAATTTACAAATGACTCACTGCACCCCCACTGTGGTCAGGACCAGTTCCTAAAGTGCCTCAGACTGATACCTTCCTAAAATACAACTATGAATTTCTAGGAAATAAAAGTGAAAACACAGCAGATGTATAATCTACAAGTCCAACATTAATTCTATTCAACAGTCATTGTCACATGAAGTCGAGGAAGGAGCTGCTCTCGAGGGAACTGAATAGGGTTCCTCCCAAGCTCACCTCTTTCCTCTTCTGCTGTGGCTGCTGTGACAGACACCAAATGTTCACTGACTGCTCTCTCTGATATTTCCTAGAGCCCTGATCCTGTTCCTGTCAAGATCTAGTCTTACCCCAGGCCACAATGCCAAGGGCCATGCAGATAAAGCTGACCCCACCCCCTCACCCCAACCCCCAGCCCCTCACTGCTGGTACCACCTTGTTCCTGATCAGTGATGACTGCTGCTGCATGGGTTCAGCATCTTCATCCTTTCAATCCTGACATTTCACCTCACTCACTACTTTTCTTAAACTCCAGAAAACCTATAATGATCTTGATTGCATGATGCCAGCCTTGTGTGCTCTCTCCCTCATTTTACATGACATTTGAGAGCTGCTATCATGGGTCATGGGTTAAAGGAGTATTTAAAGCAGTAGTAATTTAATAGTTAGGATTCAGCTGACAGCCTCTCCAGGCCTGGGGAGCCGGTTTGGCTGTGGGTGGCCTGTGCCTTTTGAGGGGTAGTTATGGGAAGACTTTCAGGAACACTTTCTAGCCAACATGTGGGAATGCTACATTACCTCAAGACCTAAAAATAGCTGGATGCATGTGTACCTAGTTCTCCTATGGGCCATGTTGTTGGCAACATAGCTGTCTCCTGGCATTAAAACACAGAATGGGAACAGATCACCACCTCTTCTGTCCTCTCCTAAATAAAGGCCAAGATCATCCCTTATCATTTTGCCATATTATAAAATGTCACATCTGATCCATGCCCCATTACCCCTTATGATTCAGTTTTTTGTTTACTGTCATTCCTGTTGATGGTGGCCCTCTCCATTAGGGAAAAGGTTGCTTCATCTATCCTACTTATTGAGACTTGTGCTATTTTTCTTCATAGAGTCTGACAAGATAGCATCATCTCTTCATAGCCTCCAGAAATTCGTTCCTACAGAGTATGCCAGCTATACACAGGAGCATTATCAATTTGCAGGCAAGAAGATCATCATCCAAGAATCCATAGAGAGTTATGGTGCGGTGGTGTGGCCAGGGGTGAGAACTGCTACGATGTGATATCTGCTTTCTGGAGATAAGAGTTTATATATGTGTTGCCTTGGACAGTTGGCCATGTGATTTTTCACCTTCTGTGGTTTCTCAAACTGATGGATGATAATGTGGTCCACCAGCGGCTGGTGCTATGCTGCTGGTTCAACAGACACAGCATTTCCTCCAGCAGCACTAATTTGGCTTGAAGCAAAATCCTCCCCCTACTTCCTTTCCTGCCTACGGCCTCAAGTGCTCCACCACTCAGCTACCCCCAGTCCTAAGAAATATTTCTTGAAACATTATTTTTGTGTGGCATAAAACTGACCACATTGGAAATAGAATGCAAAACTGATATAACCATTAAAAAAAATCAAGAATTTATCGTTTAGATAAATAGCAGTCTCAGCTATTCATTTTATACCTCTTTCCCAAGGTAGATGGTGGATACTTCAGGAGACATTCAGGAATCATTACTCTGCCTCTCATTTCCCCTGCAAAGAGCCTATGAAGATGGTATTGAAACAGACCAAGGTCCATATCCTCAGGCTGTGTGATTATGGGCAGTCATTCGTCCAGCTTTCATTTCCATATTTAAATTGTGGGCTAATAATGGTAATGTCTGGTTGCTCACATGGTTGTGACAATTACATGAGGCACTGCCCCTAGGCCCAAATTAGTTGTACTTAGTGATATAACATTATTCTTACCTATCTCACAGCTGAGGATGTGAGGTCTCAGCAGACTTGGTAAACCTTTACTCTGCGGTACTCTGGGGCCAAGTACTACTGATCTTTCCTCTCCAAGACTGTCTACCAGATTAGAAAGGCTCAAGAGCAGAACATCCCAGGCCTTCTGAGTTGCACTGAGATTGAAGATTCTGATTCAAGACTGTTAGGGGAGAGGGGGTTTGTGACTGTATTTCTGAAAACTATCCTAGTGGTACATATACACTGGCTGGGGAGTTGTGATAGAGGCTCTGTGACGCACGAGCAGTGATGAACAGGGGTTCCATGGGATTCTCCAAATGGTCCTGGGGAGTGGTGGCAAGTGAAAGGGAGGAGAGCTGCCAAGGCTTTTGGTCTCAGGCTCTGCCCTCTACCTGAAGAGTAGGCTCTGAGTGCATGAATAGGATTTCCTCCTAGCAAGGGTTGTCTTTTCCCTAACAAGGAGTTTGAAAATACCAAACCTTCCAGTTTCCTAATCCAATACATCCAGCACACAGATAATTGTAGTAACAGGTATTAGGAATACAAAGGTTTCAATGTGTCACACACCAAATCAGCCTTTCTTGGGACCTCTGTTTCAGACAATTATATGAAGTGTATGCAAAATGGGAAATCTGTGTTTTCTGTGCAGCTGTCCATGAAAAAAAAATACTGCACAGTTTGCTTGACGGGATAAAGAGTGAGGGATTTGGAATGTCAACAATCATAGCTATGCTTGAAGAAGCCTTAGCCTCCAAAGGCACTTACATGTCGGTGGGGGGGCAGGGCTACCTCAGAAGGACGTTCAGCCATATTCACAAGACCGCTTATAGTGTATGTTCTCAGAACCACTCTAGGTGACACTTTCTATCAAAGGCCCACATAAGAACCCTCCCCTTAACAAAGAACTCCTTCTTGCTACTTGCTACTCTCACCTCAAAGGCCTCTCCCCATCTTTCCTCACTGGCTTACCTCTTCCTGTATCAGAAAGGAGGCCCTGATTTCCCAGTGGCCTCTATTCTTCCCTGCCCCACCTGGTCTCCTTTATGTCACTTAATCCACAGCAGTTTACAACTGGTTTACATGCCCTTAGCCCTGCCACCAATGTACCTTGACAGCACAGATCATTATCCAGTCAACATGAACACAGTATGGAGTGAAGTACCTTAAGTTGATTTGCTGGAGATGGTGAGCGTGGCATGTCTGGGAATGCTCCCTGACAGATCACCTCCTGCCTAGATCCACGATAGTAAGTGGAGTCCAAACTATCCAGCTCAATGCCTTTCATTTATGTTTGCATGCTCGACCTTGGCCTATGTATACAGGGATTGTCACTGTCTTATGATTAACTCTAGTTGCTTCCAAGGCATTGCTAGTTGACATTTCATTGACATAACACTTTGTGAGTCAATGCAAATTAATTGTCCAGTGTCTCTTTGTAGATAGTTAGGGCGCGGTAGTCTCCAGGGCTGATCTAGACATGCGGGATGCAGAGGCACACCCCGACCTCCAGAAGCTGGTCTGCATCTTTAACAAGCTACTCAGGACATCGGAGACATTGGAGTTTGAGAGATACTACTGCACTGACAGTGTTTCTTAGTCACTTAAGATAAAAAGCAAAAGGGAAAACTGTCCAATGTAACAGTCCCAACTAACCTGAATTTTGGTAAAAAGAGCTGGGAGAAAGGTGTTCAAGTTTAGGTAACTTGGGCATTGGAGATGACAGCCCCTATTTCCCTGATTCATAAGAGCTGAGTTAACTGCTCCTTTTCTCTTTTTGAGATAGTCAGATATGACAGAAGCAATTTTACGAATCTGTCTCTCCAGTTCTTTAGGTGGAATTTATTCATACTGCAGAAGTACATATATTACGGCATTGTGGCACTGAGTACCTTTTCTTGGGGGGGAGGGTCCTTTTTGAGACAGGGTCTTCCTGTAGCCCCAGCTGGCCTCTATGTAGGCCAGGCTGGCTCGCTCTCACAGAGGTCTGCTTTCCTCTGCCTCCAGTGTGTGCCACTACGCTAGGTTTTGTTTTTTGACACAGGGTCACACTGTAGCTCAGACTGGCTCAGCCTCCCACATGTGGGGACTGCAGGTGTGAGCCACTTTCTGGCTACTTTGGTTCTTATGAACACTTAGTATGGTGAAAATATTTAGTAACATTTTTTATTGTTCAACTCTAGGTGTAGCGGGGAGGTCCCAACTTGTTTGACATTGCAGTTGAAAATTGTTGTTAATGTCTTTTAGGCTACAGCTTTGTGCCAGTATTTGGAGGAACATTCAGAAGAATTAAATCTTCAAGATGCTAAAATACTTGAAATTGGTGCTGGACCAGGCCTTGTTTCCATTGTGGCCAGTATTTTAGGTCTGTTTACTCCTTCCTGCTCTTGATTCAAAACTTTTCTAATGTGACAGTGATACCAAGTCCTTACTATCTGACAGGCTGTGTGTGGATTAGACTGGCCATTTTGTTTAATATCCCCCAATGTCATATGGCAGAAATCATTACTTATTCAGAGATAACTTCTTGGAGAGGTCAAACAACTCCTTCAATCCACCTAGTCTCCATGCGAGGAAGCTGAGAGCCCAAAGTTCTGACATTGAATCCCTCTGATACTCACAGAGGGAACAGAGGTTTGAGTTGGTGTGCACCGACATCAAATGTGTGGTGACCAGAGAAGGTGCCAGTCATCTTCAGAGAGCTCAGGTCAGGACCATAATAGGGAACTTAATTATGTCAATATGCTCAGCCTATGCCAGTGGAGGCAAAGTTGAGAAACCTATATATTCCTTGTTTCTCCTTAAGTAAAGGATAACATGGCTGGCCAAATGTCTCCAGGCAATTATTGCTCTCTCTCTTCCTCTTAGGAGCCCAAGTCACAGCTACGGATTTGCCCGATGTTCTAGGAAACCTTCAATACAATCTTTTAAAAAACACACTGGAATGCACAGCTCATCTGCCTGAAGTGAAAGAACTGGTATGGGGGAAAGACCTGGATCAGAACTTCCCTAAGTCAACTTTTTATTACGATTACATCCTGGCCTCTGATGTGGTCTACCACCACTACTTCCTGGACAAGCTGCTCACCACCATGGTGTACCTTTCCCAGCCGGGCACCGTGGTGCTTTGGGCAAACAAGTTCAGATTCAGCACCGATTATGAATTTTTAGGTAAATTCAAGCAAAATTTTGATACAACACTCTTGGCTGAATATCCAGAGTCATCAGTCAAACTTTTTAAAGGGATACTAAAATGGGACTGACATGTAAGGAGCCTTTCAAAACATCAGTGTATCCCTGAGGCTGTGTTAGAAGTTGCATTGACAGATTTCTTTTATGAGATGGAGAAGGCAGTGCACTGCAACCACATGTATAGTTAAGAGTAACTGAAACTCATGATATACAACAACTTTCTAAAGTAGCTAGATGGCCTCGTCAGTCTATCTATAGAGTATAACAAACATGAAAGCAGCTTTGTTGATTTCCAAAATCCTCAGGTGTTTAATAAATTTTACATAAATAGGTTCACGAACAAGTGGATTTCTCCTTGCTCTTGCTGTTGTAGAGTCCAGATTTTACACGTGCCAATATACTTTTGTCATAACTTTTGACACTGGGCTTGACAGGGTCTCACTGTGTATGTAGCCCAGGATGACTTTGAACTTAGTCTTCCAATTACAGGTGTGCACCATCATGGTTGACATATTGTAGTTTGAATATTTATTCAGACTTTGTAGTGGGGAGAAGATATAATGAACTAAAACTGAAAAGTATGCAAACTGCTGGAATGAGGAAACCATTAACATCTTAAGAACTTCTCTAGAGGGGCTGGAGAGACGGCTTAGCCGCTATGAGCATTTGCTGTGTATCATGAGGACTGGAGTTCAGATTCCAGCACCCATATAACAAGTCAGGCATCCAGCAAATGACTGTAAATCCAGCTCTGAAGGCTCTGACGCTCTCTTCTGGCCTCAGTGAACCACAGACCCATGTACCTACACATACACTCATGCAGACCCACATATATTTCTTTAAAAAAATTCTTTAGGGCTGGGTGTGGTGGTATATCCCTTTAATCCAGTACTTGGGAGGCAGAGGCAGGTGGATCTGTGAAAGTGAGGCCAGTATGCTCTATATGGTGAGTTCTAAGTCTGCTGGGGGAACAGGGAAAAAAAAACAAAAAACAAAAAAACACAGGAGTAAGGTGGTCAGTAAATGAGGAAGACACCCAGTGCTTCCATAGCATGTGCACACACATGAACACGTGCAATAAAAACCCTCAAGATACCCAGTGCTTCCATAGCACGTGCACACACATGAACACGCAATACCCTCTTTCCCATAATGAAATTATAGGGTTAAATTTCTCTTCTGAGACGGGGAAAACAAAATTCTGGCTACCATTACCTTTTAAATCATTTTTTTCTGGTGATTTTAGCTTAGGTGGTAAAGGAAACAAACAGAATGTGCAAATTTTAATAAAAACTACAATATTCATGGATGTGATGATGCTGGGCCAGCATAATAAATATTTTAGGTTTAGTAAGCCACATACTGTTTCTTTAGAACACATATTCCTTTAAGATATTTTTTCTTTTACAATGATTTATACAAAGTTAATCACTCTTTAAAACTAGACTTTGGTTAGGTGAGGCCTATAGGCTATCCTGCCAGCCCACAGACCTAAAAGGCTCAATATTCTTTATATACTCTAGGCAGAAATACTTGGAAAATTACTTACAATAGCAGTATCAAACACTTAGGACTAAGTCTATTAACAGGTATGCTAGAATTCTATGCAAACTTAAAGCAGTATTTGAGAAAAAATAAAGATCAAATTTGTGCACTGGAAGAAATTTCAAAGATGTGAATTTTCTACAAATTGACCAACAGATTATGTGAAGTCGTCAAAATCCCAACATACATTCTAGAGGCTGGAGAGATGACTCACTGGTTAGGAGCACTTACTGCTCTTCCAGATGACCTGAATTAGTTCTCAGCTCCCACATTTGGTAGTTCACAATTCCAGCTCCAGGGGAATTGGGATGTATGCGCATACCCACACACAGACACATACATACACATCATTTAAAAAAGTAGTAAAAATAAATCTTTAACAAAACCCAATATACATCCTTGCAAAATTAGTTCATCTTGTAGATTACAACTGCACAAAAATGAAAAGGCCAAGAGGTGCCAAAATACTCAAGAATCTAGTGGGAAGGCTTGCTTATAAAATCAAATATTTTAAAGATGTGACAATTGACATAAATTCTATTAGTTGCTAATATTAATACATATTGATATTTTAAGATGTGAAATTTCAAGTTACCTGTAAATCTAATTTTCTATAAATTTAAGGGCTAAATTAGCATTCTACACGTAATTTCAAAGATTTGGTTGCTACTCCCTATTAAGAATGTGTGTTGCCATGCATGGTAGTACACATGTTCAATCCCAGAACTCAGGAAGCAGAGGCAGGCAAATCTCTGTGAGTTCAAGTCCAACTTGGCCTACATAGCAAAGCTACACAGTGAGACCCATCTCAAATACCAACCCCCCAACCAAAAACCGAAACCCAAACAACAAAAACAAACAAATGTTGGGGCTGGAGAGGTGGCTCAGCGTTTAGAGCACTTACTGCTCCTGTAGAGGACCTGGGTTCAGTTCCCAGCACCCACAGTGCAGCTAACACCACCCTGTCACTCCAGCTCCAGGGGTTCTAATGACCTCTTCTGGCCTCTGTAGGGTACCAGGTATGCATGTGGTGCACATACAAGCATGCAGGCAAACATTCATATACATAAATCTTAAAACGAGTGTCCCAGGCCTTTGGTGTGGTGATGGGTATGTAAAATACTCACGAATTGAGCTGACTGTGGTGACACACACCTTTAATCCTCAGCACTTAGGAGGCAGAGGCAGATGGATCTCTTTGAGGTGGATGTAGTGAGTTCCAGGCCAGCTGGGGCTATAGGCAGACCCTGTCTCAGAAAACCCAAAAGGGAACAAAACTACCACCACCACCACCACCACTACCATGAAAACGCCCAAAACAAAACACCCATGAGTTTTGCTGACTGGATAAGATTAAAATTTAAGAACTCACAATTTAAGAATTCATTTCAAGATTCAAAAACTTCTTGAAAAGTAAGAGTAAGGCCAGACCTAATGGTGGAGGCCTTGCAATTCTAGCTACTCCAAAGGCTGAGGCAGGAGGATTCCAAGTTCCAGGTCTGTCAGTTGACAGCACCATGGGATAGTCATGGGATCAATGGAACAAAACAGAGTTCAGAAATAGATCCACACTTGCAGTCAACCAGTTTTCACAAAGGTGTTATGGTCATTCAATGGGAAAGTAGTCTTTTAAACCATGGATGCAAGAATAGTTGTAAACACCCATCTGCCCTTGAATCTTGTCATATTTTATACATAAAACAAAACCCAACAGAACCAGGTAAAATCCTTGTTGCTTTGGATTAGACAAAGATGTCTTAGACATTACCCACAATGTACAACTTATAAATTAAAAATATGTTGCAACTGGACCTTTATCAACATCAAAAATCTTGTTTTTAAAAAGACACGATGAAGAAACATATGAGGAGAAAATTATTTCACAAATGCTGATATAAAAAGGGCTTGTGTCCGACATACATGAAGAACTCCTACTACCCAGTAACACAATCCAAGTAAAGAAGAGTGGACAAAAATTTGGAAGAGGCTTCACCCAAGATACACAAATGTCCAATAAGCTCATTATTTATTAACATCAGAGATATTATAACACAAGCACTAACTGGCTAAGGTGACAATATTCAGTACTGATAAGGATGTAAAACACCTGCAACTTTCACACTTTGCCAGTGAGAATTTAAAATGGTATAGCTATGTTGGAAAACAGTTTGCCAGTTTCTTACATTAAAAAGTCCAGTAAACAATACATATTTTAAAATATTTCCCCCAATAACTACAAATAGTCATCAACTGGTAGATGGACAAACAGAATGTGGCTGTTTCTATGTCAATGTATCACAGGACATTACTTGGTAGAGAAAAAGAATTAGCACAACTGGCCTGCAGTGTGGACAAAACTCTAGAATATTACACCAAGCACCAAGTCTAAGAGACTGCACATATTTTCATCCCACTTATAGAACACTTCTAGAAAATTCAAAATTGTGACAGAAAAGGTCATAGTTTGTTTTGGAAAAGGGGTAGGAATGGAAATTGACTACAAATAAATGATTGGAAATGTTTAAAAAGTAGGTTGTTCTGGGGAGGGCCAGTGAGATGGCTCAGAACGTAAAGGTACTTGCTGCCAAGCTTAATAACCCAAGTTCAATTACCCACAGAGGAATCAACTCCTA